CTCAGCTCCAGCCCCTGGCCTCTCAGCTCCAGCCTCCAGGCCCCAGGCCGCAGGCCCTAGCCTCCAGCCCCCAGCCCCCTTTGATAAGTATCCTGCATCGGACTGAGGGGGTGTGCTCACGGACTGAGGCGGTGCACTCATGGACCACGACTTCTTAGAGGGAACATTGGCTACTGCTCAGTAGCTTAATATTACTGTGCAGTAGCACCGCGTCATGATTTTAGCCATGCAACACTGCTGTTCAGTAGTATCAGGCTACTGTGCAATCAGTGTTTCATGTAGATGCACCCACTAAGTATAGTTGAAATATGAGAAAACATACATTCAAGCAGTTTAGTGCATGTAAAGTGAAACTGTGGCATTGCAAAGTTGTTCCATTTTAGGAGTATCTAATGTACTAACTGGGCACATCTACAGATGCTCTTACAGCACTGTTGTTACAGCACCATCATTAAATGATGTCACTAAATGATGGCACAGTAACAGCCATTACTGTACTGTGCCATCAGTGCACGGTTATTTTTAGCTATCATGTTGCCATAGTGAAGCACTATAGCAAGGGAGTATGTTGCTTAGGCATCATAGCTGTGATCCCTGCAGACACTACCTTGTCATAGCACATTATTACAGCAGTGTAGCATCTCATGTAGCAATGCCTACTTTAATAGGTAGTAGCCATATTTATACACACATTTAATCTGGAATCAGTTTACTTGAAAGTAAACTGCTTGTGAGTAAACACTCACAGGCAGCATCTACACGTGTAGAGAAGTGGAAGCAGATTTGCTGCTAATGGCAATAAACTGCTTCCACTTCTGGGGCCCTGAAATGGGCCTCTACTGCCACAGCTGTCTCCTGGCCAGGGCTGGGACATTACACCCTGCCCCCAGGGGGCTGCCTGCTGCCAGAGAAGGGAAAATGTCCTCCTGCTCCCGCAACAGGGAGCTCCTAACCCTGGATCCTTAATTGGGGAAGGGGACATGGAAAGGGCTGCAGGGCAGAGGAAGATTACAGCCCCCTACCCCATCCACCACTGGTGAGGCAGCTAGCAGCTAGCTCCCTGCTAGCTGCCTCAGTGACAGATCAGGGCAGGTGGCTGGGACCTATCCCCTTCATCTATTTCCAAGCCTTAATTACCAAATTGGGGCATGGGACTGGGATCTGCCCCTGACCAGGAAAATTCTCAGCCCCTGGTCTGTGGTTATGTGGTAGAGTCTGGGGAGCCTGTTCCCTGCTTATCTCTGTGAGCACAGAGCTCGGCAGGGAAAAGACTGTGGAACTTGTTCCCTGCTTAACTCTGGGATCATGGAACTGAGGGACAAACAAGATTCCCAGGCTGTTCCCCACCCAGCTCTGTGTGCATAAAGCTGAGCAAGGATCAAGTTCTCCAGCCTTTTCCCTACCCAGCTGCACAATCATGGAGCTAGGCAGGAAGAGGCTTCCCAGGCCCCACCAGCAGGGAGTTCCCAGCTCCAGCT